TTGCTGGGCGTTGTCAGGCCCGTTTACAGAACATAGTCATGCAGGAATGCCGCGGTGGGCGGTAAAACAAAGGTTGATGTTAAAAATTTGGATTCTAACCAAATACCTACATTGCGGGACATCAACTGCCCTACCTATCTTGCATGCTGTACGCGCACACCTGGCTTGTGTCTGACACTACCATTCTAGCACCCAGTTCTCCGCCCATGCGCCGCCATTCGTCAAGTTCTGCAACCCCCCAACGAACAGAACCTGCGACGTGGAGTTGTATGTGATGGATCCTGGCGATACTGTCTTTCCATTGAGAGTCACCGCAGAGGGCTCCTTGTTCACTCCGAGCACCGTCACATTAGCAAGTGGGTTCCTTTCTTTCCATTTCCCTTGCGCTGACGAGCGCAGGCTTGACCGTGATGCGGTGAAGCCCACACGAAGCGTGGCATTGGGATAAATGCTCTCCCCATCATCGAGGTAGAGCTGCCCCGACGCGGTTCCGTTGCTTCCTAGTGCGGCCAGCAAAGCCCAGGGGGTTTGCCGGGCTTCACGAGTGGTCAATGCTGGCTCTTGCATCGGCAAGATGTTTCCACCTCGTACATAAACCGGGATGTGGCCCAATGGTGCCGAGATGGTCGTGTTGACTCCGGGCTTCGCATCAACTGCAGCCTGAGTGTACCAGTCGTACCACACTTCGCCATGTCCAACCCCCGGGAATACGCCCTTGACCGTATTGACCAGAGGCTCCAGTACCGGAATCACCATGATGGCCGGCCCAACCATGAATTGAGTCTCAACCGCAGCCAAAGTTGGGTCGTTGGGGAACTCCCAGGAAAGTGCGCGCATTACAGTGGAGCCCGTAGTGTGGGCCAGGTCAAACAACGTATAAAAGTAAGGTAAGATAGCGTACCGGATCCTCATCGCGGACTTGGTCGCTTCAATAACAGAAGCCCACCGATAAGGCTCCTGTGGGATTGTGGAGAGCTCATTGTGGTTTCGGTAGAATGGAAAGAATGCGGACAGTTGCATCCATCGGTTGCAGAGCTCCTCATCCGAGTTTCCGGTAAACCCACAGGTGTCAGCACCAAACATAGGAATGCCGAAGAGCGAGAAGGAAAGGGCTTGTGAGATGGAGTAGTACATAGACCACCATTTGGAATAATTGTCACCGCCCCAATGGCCCGCCCATTTGCCAGAGCCAGCGAAAGTTGAGCGGCCAATGATAAATGGCCGCCGCTCATGAGACCAGACCTCAAGCAGACCATGGTAGGTAGCGTTCAATCCTTGATGCCCGTAGAGTCCGTGCACATCATATTCCTCAACACCATCAACATGGGTCGCGTTTGGCGACACTGCATGGACGCTGAGATCATGGCCTTCTTGATCATGGTTGATTACATAGGGTGGGTGCTCCACATTGCGAACACCAGGCGTGGGCGTTGTGCGCAGATATGACACCGAGGTCGACGTGCTGGTTGCGGTTGCCGCGGCCTGGCTGGAAGCGCCCGCCGACGCTGACGCCGCCTCTGTAGCGTTGGTAATATTGAAAGCCTCCGGGTAGTCATATATGATATCGCCGGGCTCACCGGGGAGAAGGAACGGTGGGTGTGCCGGGTTAAGAGTCAGGTTCCCGGTGCCACAGCTCCCGACACAGAATGATGAAACTTCAGACATGTCATACCAAACTCCATCGAACGCCACTTTCTTCGACCAGATGACAAGTTCGTTGGCCCAGAAATCCACTACCTTGGGATGATGCCAGTCAGGGAAGACTGTATATCCTGGCCAGACGGCTCCGATATAGAGGCTACCATCGGGGTTCTTGAGGAAGACGTCATCCGCAGCTCCTCTGTCATATGTAGCGTATCTGTATTGCTTGTTAGAACAAGGACAGTTGTATAAGTTGACACGGTCCACTTACGCATCAGAGGCATTTTCGGGATTCGGAATGTAGAGTGCAGCATCAACAATGGGTACATAGTAGCGTCCACTCTCATGTAACTTGCTGAGGAATTCTTCGCCCTCGCTGTAGGAAAAGCGATTCTGATCGTTATCGAAGTTGCGATATCCGTGCATGTAGTCGATATCGGTCCTATATAGATGTCAGACCGGTTTTAGACTTAATGGACAGGTACAATACGCACCAGATATATTCCAGCGGGATCTCGAATTTCTCAAAATTCGCGACAACGTCTGCCAGATCCGACCAGTTATTGTAGCCCCAGCGACATTGGTGGAATCCAAGAGTACTGTATTGTTGCATGGCCGGTAATCCCACGGTGCTGGTAAGGTATTGCCTGGTGACATCAGCCGGGTTTGGCCCCGAGTAGAATGTCAAATCGATTCCTCCACCTAGGGTCCGCCAGATCAACTTCTGGGGCCGGAGGAGTATCTCTAGCCCATGAGAGTTTCTCAGGAACACGCCATGGGAGAGGGAGATATATTCTTGCGAGGCATCGGTCTCGCTGCTTTTGACTGGAACATAAGACCCATTTTGCCTGTCTCCCTTGTAATACCTTGTATCCAGATAGAAGGGATGCTGGCCGTAGATGTTTCTAGGAAGAGTAAGTGTCAGGAGTGGAGCCAAAGATGCGGGTCTAATCGGCACTCACTTGTCAATAGGAGTCCCATCATCCGAAGGATATATGGTGAGATTAGCATCTCTCTGGAGGCGAAACTGGGTGATATGCTCCCCAAGGCCATACAAGTTATACTCCTCGGGAAGAGCCGTTACAAATTCGATAAATTGGTCTTCATAAACAAGCACGGTGCCTTCTGTACTGAAGAGAGCGTCGCCTGTAGCCTTTCGGATCACCTTGAAATTGAACGACGGCTCATTTGACCATGACACGGAAAAATCGCTGTCGGAAACAGATGCATTCAAAGAAGCTTTGGGCCTAGGCACCAGATTCTCTGAAAGAAAGTACCAGGACGCATTTGTGGAGTCAACATGAGTGGGAAGAATCTGAATGTTCAATCGATCCGAATCCTGGTACTCCACAGACAGTGTCAAGGAGTCAACATCTGTGCCGTATACATTACATGGCCTGCCTGCGAGCTGAAGACTAGCAGTGAATCCACGTGAATTATGCTGCACTTTTGAAGCCTTGTAGCCCGGACAAACCGACTGCGCGTTGGCAGCCTGTGGATCATCGATGTTGGCAATCAGCTGCGCACCGACATCTGCGGAAGCAGGAATGGTGAACTGAGGCTGCGAAGAGGTAGTGGTGGATAAGAGCGACTGGCTCGCCCCATAAGCCAGAGGGACAAGCCAGGCTCTGGCGAGGAGATCGGTCAACTTCACCATGGCTCGCTTAAAGAGACACGAGGCACGGTCGCGTAATCATTGATGAGAATGGAGCAGCTATCACCCATATGTATTCAAGAAATCCTCCTGTTATTTATACATGGCTGGGCTGAGGCGACTGGATCATCACTACTAGGAGTAGCCTCCTATTGACATGACGCTGTGCGACCGTATCTGAAGGCTCATTGCGCCGGTGAATTCCCGACGTGTAAGGGGCAAACGGAGATACATTTTTATGGATTGCGGAGAATCGGCAAAGCTAGCGAGCGAATTGAGTTCATTATGACCGAAGAAGAGGAGAGAATGGGGCAGGTAACGAGCAAGCACCTACCTGATTGAAGATATTGTTGGGCTGGTACAGCACCTTATTGTAGGCGAGGACAACTGGAGAAGCATCGACCCCAGTTGGCGGGGGGAAGCCTGGGGATTCTCCAACGATGATTTGTTGCACCGGAGAGATGGGAGTGGATACTGCCGAGTACCGTATTGATGCCTGAGATGCCTGGCAGCCAGACAATCAGATGATGAGCGCACGCTGATTGGCTCTCATCCCGATAAATCACCGAGACCCCCTCAATTCGGGCTTCGGCTCTGACGATTCTTGTGCTCCAATCCAGTTGACAATCGCGACCCGACCACTTCGCGCGGCGCCTTTCCCACCTTCCCCAGAATGCTCCCGGTGAAGAATCTCAACACCAGACTTTTCGATGCTGGCTGGTTTGAAAACTAGGTGGCACTCAATCTTGATTTCAAACCTAAAATGAAGGGCATTGAAGGCGGGGACGAATGAAGATGGGGTCTACTAGTGAAGACACATACCAGGGGCCCTGACTGCGAGGCATTTAATGGCTTTGATAATCATCTCATTCCTAGGTCACATATTCTCGGCTTCCCGAGTGGGATGTTGTTCACCAGTGTTACGTGAAAGCTCTTCCGGACCATCATTAGCATGAATCCCATCGTCAGCGAGTCTCAGACTCTGTCAGCTTTTGCTATAGGAATTCACCATGAGAATGCTTTGTGCAGGGGTGCTGATTCTCCGAAAGTACTCCGTAGCGCATGGATGATATCCTTGGTCGAATGATGGATCCTTCAGGCCGAACCAGCGACTGATAGTATCTCACACCACCCTCGCACACAAAGGGTCGCCGGAGGGAATGGGCCGTCTGCAGGCAATATCTTTCATGATGGCTCCGTGAACCATATCCTGGCACAGCCTACGCTGCTTTCGCCGTTAAAGGAGATGACTTCGGCCTTCTGTCTGGAGTATACCTGACCCGCGTCATGGCTCGGGCGGAGGGTCCACCTGCTAAGCCAGGAAGTCATTCTGGGACTAAAATACTAGTAGCTCCAGTCGAGGTGATAGCCTCTTTGGCTCGAACAACGGGCCGAAATGAACAGGCCAGTCGTAGCAGGTTAATAGAAAGTGGCTCATACCGCGGGGTCCGGGTAGCCTGGAGTTGCCGACTTTCTCACAGTGTCGCTTCCCCGCCGCCCTTCCCCAGATTTCTCTCCTTGGTCTCCCCTCCTTTAGCAATCGCCTGATTCTCGGTGACTGCTCAACTTGTGGCCATCTCGACCACCGAAACTTGTCCGGCGAGCATCACTCTTTCAGAATACAATGAAGTCCCCAGAGTCTCGCTCCACTGCTGTTGCTACTGCTAACTTCTGACGGGAGCCTCACACTTGTTTCCGCATACAAATGGACTCACATCCTTCCCCCACCAAGCAAAAGGCCTCCAAGCAAGCCTGCGACAACTGTCGTCGACGTAAGATCAAATGCTCGCGCGAGCTGCCCTGCGATAAGTGTCGACGCCTGCTTCTTTCTTGCTCCTACAGTGATGTGCTCCGGCGCAAAGGGCCCAAGTTTCGCACCTTATATCCGCTTGCGCCCATTCATCCACTGGTATCAAGACAACAGAATTCATATCAACACAATCCGTCACATAATCCGCTGAACAAGCAATGGACTACAGATGGAGTGGGCTATCCGTTAAGCTCACCGATGTCGCCTTCCTTTACAGTGGCAGACCCTCAATACTTACCCCATGACGCCCCTGAGCCGTTTTCTCAGCTTCCCCCACCAGAGCTAGTCTCCTCGCCCGATTCAACCAATTCATTGTCAGACTCCAGTATGGCACTAGTGCGCCCTTATGCACGACGCCTGTCCGCTCCGGTGCTACTGGCTCATGTGAATGTCTATCTGAAGTATCTGTTCCCCATCATGCCTGTGGTCCGGAAGGAGGAGCTGCAACAAGATTGTCACCAGCCTGAACGTTTATCGCCCCAACGATATGTCTTTCTTGTCGCCCTATGCGCAGCCACACATATCCAACTCAAGCTGGATGGCACAGCATCTGTCCCAGAACCTTCGCACCTGCAAGCCGGGATTGACGGGCATTCCTGGATGTCCGGCGAAGAGTTGCTGGCTGAAGCAGTACGCGCAAGGAAGGATTGCGACCCAGTAGATGGAATGAACATAGAAAGTCTTCTTACATCTTTCTTTCTGTTTGCTTCGTATGGCAATCTGGACAGACAGGACCATGCCTGGTTCTACCTCTGTCAAGCAACTTCTATGGTCTTCACGCTGGCACTGCACCGGGAATCAAGTTATGTGGATCTTAGTATCGAAGAAGCCGAGGAACGGCGCAGGGTGTTCTGGCTACTGTTTGTCACAGAAAGGTAGGTGCATCCTAGGACAGCATTTGCCAGTCTTCGACTAACATGAATTAGGGGTTACGCACTTCAACAAGCGAAACCGGTAATGCTGCGCAATTCAATCCGCAAGCCGCAAGTGCTTTGCTCAGAAGATCCTATCTTAGCATACGGTTTCATCAATCTAATCAGCATCTTCGAGAAATTGACCGTCAACCTTTATGACTGGGTCTCTGCGGGAGGCATGGATGGCTCGTCCGAGATGCCCCCTACGTCTGCTATTCAATCTAGTCTCTGCAACGCGATCTCGGTCGACGGTGTTTCGGAGATCCAAAAGGTCGACATACTCATCACCCAGCAATGGCTACAGACAGTAATGTGGAAACTTTCTATGACTCGCGCCACTCAGCCTGGGTCTCGCGATGAGGCAGTCCTCCCCTTTCACCTCCCCGTCCTTGTCGGCAAAGCCGTTATGAACGTTATTGGTGCTGCATCCCAGGGAGCTGTTGACGCTCACGGCATTGGCATGGTTAGTACATCAGTTCCAACTTAGCACATGCCAATGTCATTTACTAACAACAACATAACAGGAACAAAAACTATTCGACCTGGGTTCCTCAGTCGCAGACGTGGCACGATCGCTCAATACTAAAGCCGCGCACCGTCTTACTGAAGCGGCCGTCGATCCCCGCGAACTCCTTTGGGGCATCCTCACTACCTTATCACGCATCCGCGGCTCTCAGTCGTACCTCTTCCCCTCATTGTTGGAGCGGTGCAAAGGCGCTATGGATTTCACATCCCCCACGTCAATGGGCAATTTCCTCCCTCCATTATCCACTGCTCCCACATGGGAAGAGGAAACCGGACTCGCCGTTGTTACGGTTCCGGAGAATCCCGATTCCCATGAACCAGAGACAGCACTAATGGAGCCACTATCACAACTTCTACCCACTCCACAGGTGCAATTTCCGGAAAACAATCTTTTGAACTAAGAAAGGAACTACGATGATGACGATGCTGGCATTAATTCGAGTTTGTTACGACTTTGCTTTTGTTATGATACCATTTATCTGGGAATTATGTGGCAATGTATACGGCATGAAGGTGAATTGTATGTAATAAAGCATGTATATAGGTGATGAGACTATCTATTCAATATTCGATTGTGGTCGAATATTAGCTCAGTCACCATGCGTTTGCACTGCACTATGATAAATAATTCCCTATATCTGGAGGGAAGCCATAACACCTTAATCAATTTAAAGGAGTAACATAGAGTAATTCTAAGTCATTCTTTATTTCAGTCTAAATGCGCTATACAAAGCAACACAACCGGGTCCATCGAAAGTAAATGTACAATTGGTATGAAAGTGTAAGGAAAAAAAGTAAGAAACCCAAGACTATGTACCTGTATCGCGCACGAATCTGATATCATCCCAAGCTAAACAATCAAGTTTCATGATCTATGCGCCGTAAGAAAGAAGCAAAATTATAAACGTGGCTAGCGTAGAAGAGGGGGTTGAGAGGGATACCCCTTTTCATATATAAGTGAAGAAGTCAGGGGGTGGGACATGAGATAGAACCTGTAGCTTGGAGACGCAGCACAGGTGGTTCTGAAGATGGATGAAGGCGGGGCGGCAGGAGGAGAATGGGAGGGATTGTGCGAATGATTGTTGCGCCAAATCTTAATGCAGACAGGCGGGCGTTCTTAGGCTGCTCGCCAGATCAACTCTAGAACTTGATCACCTTTCTCCGGGTCACGGTGGACGTACCATTGACGGACGCGGTTTCCGTCAATGATGGCGTCTTCGTGCAGGTAGCTAATCTTTCCCTCGTCCTTTAAGCGGAGAGGACCAAGCTCATGCAGATATGACTCGAAAACAGCACCGTTGTGGCTGTCCCACGTGAGCTCCATGCTTCTGTCGCCTGGCTTCTTCTCGCTGCTATACTTCACCACCGAGAAGCCGTTGGTGAGGATCCAGCCATCTCCAAAGTGCCATTTCCGCAGGAGACAAGAATCACCGCAGATTTCGGTGACTGCACTGGCTTTGGCCATGTCCGCGTGGAACCAAGACTTCCAGTGATGCACTGACAGCGGCGGTTGCCGTTCCGCCTCGAAAAACCCGGACACATCGCCCATCATGTCGAGCTGGTGCAGGCGGTGGTCGATGGTCAAACGAACACTGGTGTACTGGTAGATGCAAAGAGAAATTCTGCGGTCGCCCGTCACATCCATTCTCTGGCAGTCCTCGAATACTTCCGGCCGGCTCAATTCTTGGATCAGAGGCCGGGACAAGAAGACGCCTGCGCCTCCAAATCCCATCAATCCAAACACTCCAACCTGGGGAATACTTTCAGACAGTCCACCCACGTACATGGGTTTCGTTTCATCATACTCCTTGAGCCCTTTGACCAACTCTGGCATCGAGAGGAAGAATGTATCGTCGTCCATGACGCACGACCATTTCGTTTCTGGACGCGCATTCTTGGCCAGGTGAGGGACCAGCGAAAAGTATCGGCGCTGGTACTCTTCACTCGACTCCGATATTGAGAGATTTATTCCAAGCGCATCAGCCTTTAGCAGAACCTCGTGTGCCCCCTCATCGGGCTCAACCAAGGCAAAGATGTGAGCATTTGTATAACCCGCCCAATGAGAAAACGCGTCCAGGGAGTCGTTCAGCCGTTCTATCGTCGTAGCGACACCGAAGTCGATGTGGGACGCATCCGCATGTCTGGGGGGTGTTGGGACTTGGAGCGACACCGGGTTTGGTATTAAGCAGTCCTCATGCAAGAGCTCCTCCGGTAGATGAAGTTGGTCGCCATGGGACTTTTGCGGAAATAAAGGAACTTGGAGACGTTGTGACAGCGGCAAGACGTTGCTGGGAGATTCAGAGGCGACTACTTCGCGTCGCACGTACTGGGTCAGTTTCTGGACATTCAAGCGGCGGAGAGCCTCAAAGTCCGGCTGGCAGCCAACATCGGAGGTGATGGTAATGTTGGAAACAGTTTCCGTGGTCACGCGCTCGGATTCTAGACGGGGCCAAAGGAAAATGGTGAAGCTAGTGACGATACAGCTGATGACGACAAAGCGCAGCAGCTTTCTCTTCCCCATCGATGACCGCGGCTTGTCCGCAGGTTTTGCCCACATTCTCGATTCTCCCGTGTCTCTCAAGTATAATCCCCGGCAAATGGATGGCTGGAGTAGGATGAAATAATCACAGTGATCGCACTAACAGTGCAAGACCATGTCGAATCTTCCGGTAAGAGGGGACAAAGGAGGGGAGGGCCGGATACTGGGCGAGTAAAGGAGGGAAGATTGGCAGCGAAGAAGGGGGGAAGGAAACGTGGAGAGGAAAACCCAGAGGATAAAATGAACAGCAGACGATCTCTGGACCCCAACGGATGAAGGAAAGAAGAACGCGGAAAGAATGACGAAGGTCAGCGGGCAAGCGACAACGTCAATGGAGCCAAGGTTGAAAGGGAAGGCTGATAGGCGATCAACGGGGCTCCAAAGCAGCACGGCGACAAGAAACACCAGAAACAAGCACTTGCACGGCTCGAAATTGGTCGGATCTGACCTGGCGGAGACCGGCGACAAGCCAGGGATCGGCCATGCCCTGGACTTTAGGAAGATGGGACGCTGGAAGCCACGGATGGAGTCTACGATGCTTGGTCGAATAAGAGCCGGTCTGGCCGTCAGGGCACACCTGCTCGGTGTCCACTGGGGGCCCTCGATCGGCCATTCAAACACGCTCTAGGAGATTTTAGTCTGATGCTTTCGTCTCCAAGTCCCAATGTCTCCAGCGATGGACGGTGACACTCTCCCCCAGGGTTGCGTTAGGGGTCCGCCCTTAGTGGTTTACCCTGTACCAGTTCCCCCATCGCCATGGCTCATGGCGCGGTCGCATTCTCGCTTCCGATGGCAAAAGACGCCGCCAGCCAGAGGGTTATCATCTACGGTAGTAGCAGAGCCTAACCTGACACTGTACACTACCCCTAACTTATTGGTTGGTCTGCTTTCTATTCGGTTGCACTAGGCTAGACATCCGCGGGACAGCCACCGTCGCCGCAGCAGCTGGTGGATGGCACAACCGCCCGTTGATTGACGCGCATTCCACTTGGGGGCGATGGTCCAACCGGGCAGCGGGGGCGGCGGCTTGATGACGACGGCTGCAGGCGAATCGCTTGGCAGTGCGTCTCATGATGGGCTTATCGACTTACTTATCTGGTCGGTAGTGTGTCTGTGTCGCCAACCAGTTGCATAGTGAGAAAAGCCCTGCTGCGGGTTGGCGAACTGACTAACAAGTGGTGCATGTGCATGTGTTCTCGTCTCGAAAGCAAACGAAAAAGGCATCCTTCTGCCAATACAACCTCTGGCACGAGATGTCAAGAAATATTTGATAAGTTGACTGTCGCTTTCTTTTCTAGTGACCACGCGTCGACTCCATCAGGGAATTATTCTCTTCCTTTGCGAACCACTCGCCGTCGCAGCCTTTTTCCGGCACTGCAGCCTCATGAGATTTGCTCCAGTCGCTTTAATTTCCCATGGCCAATTGCAGTGAAGCTGATGGATTTTCATTATCGCTCGTCGTCGGATGAGTTCGCGAGACATGATATGTAGTCTAGCTCCTATGTCTTGGGTAGTGATAATAATAGATGTCGCTAAAGCTAATTAACACCACTAGTTAAGTATAAGCATGGGCTTATATTGCGTGCATGAATTAGTACCACCTATACACAAATTAATTGTGTGTTCTGAAGGCAGACGAATACTTTCTATCAAATCTATGCATCTTGGTTTCATAGATTCCTATACAGTTGCTTCGTTGCTTCGTTGCCCCAGCTGAACGGCTTATCGTCAAAGGCTGTCTGCTTGTTTTGGTGTAATCTGCCCCTGCATAATTCCATGCAACGTTGGCCAGACAAGAGTAATCAAAAGCAACGCCGTGGCGCGGTGAGTAAGGGGCATAAAATGTGAAGCACAACGGCCAGCAGTCTAGACCATTACTGGGACTTATTGTTGCACAACAGGGTTGACTTTAGATCAGTCAAGAACCCCCCGACAACTGCATAATTTAGTCATTTCATTTCCGCCTTGAACAAAGTCACATGGTGAGCCGGGGGGCTACGGTGGGCGCTCCCGCACACTTGTGCAGAGTTCCCCAATGGGGAAATGTCTCGATCCCGCACACATGGCTTCCAGCGGAGGCCACCTGCCAGATCATCCTCGGCCAGTCTATACTCTCGACTTTACTACTCGCTTATTGCATATGTCCTTATTTGTGACTCGATAAACAATCCACCTCTCCTTACCTCCGAGCCCTCGTCGGGCCCCTCATCCCGTTCCGCGTTCCGCCAATTGACACACATTCCGCTATGGCTGCCCAGTCACTGAGCTCGTTGCTACAACGGGCATCCATTGACGACCACGAGGAAGTCCTGCAGTCATGCAATGCCGCTCTGGCCAAGTCGAAGTCGGACTTGCAGGCTCAGCATATTAAGGCAGTTGCTTTGCTGAAGCTTGACCGCTATGGGGACTGCCTGCGAGTATTCGAAGAAGCCGGTGATGGCTTGAAGAACAGAGCAGCTTTGGAATACGCTTATGCCCTATATAAATGCGGCCAGCTGGACCCGGCAATTGAGGTGGTATCTCGCGTCGCCGGTGAGAGGGGTGCACTGCATTTGGAAGCTCAAGCCGTATGTTGTTACCTTCCAGAAATACTATCTACACCTGGATATCTTCTATCACAGCGTGTCCGCTCGTCCTAACTCTTATTTTCCATAAAGAGCTACCGTTCCGAGAAATTCCGTCGCGCTGCCGAGATTTACGAAGAACTATCGAAAGACAATGCGTCCCTGTCGAACGAAGAGAACGATTTGCGCATCAACTCGTGGGCTACGGACGCCCAGCTGCAGTGGAAGGGCTACCCCCAGTTTGTACGCCATAGCAGGCCGATGCGGGATGATCTAGAGGCGTTCGAGACGGTCTATA